GCCCCAAGATCGCCCAAGAGGGCCCCATGACGGCCCAAATGGCCTCCAAGACGACCCCAAGAGGGCCCCAAGACGGCCCAAGAGGCCTCCAACACGCCCAAGGGCCCAAGATGGCCTCCAAGACGCCCAAGATGGCCCCCAAGACGGCTCCGAAGCGCCCCAAGAGGGCCCCAGGTCGGCCTGGAAAGGCCCCCAAGACGGCTCCCGACGGCGTCAGACGTGCCAGGAAACGACCAAGATAGCCGAAGTTGGCTCGAAGCTGGCCCAAGACGGCCCAAGAGGCCCCCAAGAGGGCCTCCAGGAAGGCCAGAAGAGGCCAAAAACATTGATTATCCTCAGGTTGTTGACGGATTTTGACAGTTGCTTCTTGTCGGCCTTCCGACGGCCCGAGACGGCCCAAGAGCCCCCAAAGATCGCCGAAAGATCACCCAAGATGCCTCCAAGATGGCCCCAGAACGGCCCAAGAGGGCCCCAAGACGGCCCCAAGAGGCCCCCAAGACAGCCCAGGAGGCCTTGAAGACGCCCAAGATGGCCTCCAAGACGGCCCTGGAGCATTCCAAGAGGGCCCCAAGTCGGCCCATCGAGCCCCCCCAAACGGCTTCCGACGGCGTCAGACGGACCAGGAGCCCACCAAGACGGCCGAGCATGGCCCTCAGATGGCCCAAGACGGCCCAAGAGGCCTCCAAGAGGGCCTCCAGGAAGGACCCAAAAGGCAAAAATCATTGATTTCTCATAGGTTTTTGAAGGATTGTGGCATGTGTTATTTTTCTGCCTTCCGACGGCCCGAGACGGCCCAAATGCCTCCAAAAATCGCCCAAGAGGCCCAAGACACAGTCCCAAGAGGCCCCCAAGACGGCCCAAGAGGCCTCCAAAACGCTCAAGATGGCCTCCAAGACGGCCCAAGAGCCCTCCATGACGTCTTCCAAGAAGGCCCGAAAGGGTCAAAATGGCCTCCGGACGGCCAAGATGACCTTCAAGATGCCCACGTGTTCCCCGAAGGCTTTCCAAACCGATTCGGGGAACACATGGTCCGATAGCTTGGCAGGTCTGGCCTCCACGTTCGGCCACATAGGCGCTTCCACAATGGCAGGGGGCGGCGGTGACTCGCCGTAGGCGTCTTCGATCCGCCGCCCCCTGCTGATTCATCACAGGGGTCCCTGGCGTGCTAGATCCTACCGGTTTTGGTTATGGTTCTTCTCCCAAAGAACTCCCCCTGGGGCCTCGGCCCAGCGCGCCGGTCCCGCGGAAAGCCGCCGAAGAAGACCAGAAACGACCTCAACATCCGCAGAAAAGCATCTGAGGCCGCTCAAGATGGCCTCTAAGATGGCCACGTTGGCCCAAGATTGCCTCCAAGGTCGCCCAAGATGGTCCAAGATGGCCTCCAAGATGGCCCAAAAGGGTTCAAGGTGCCTTCTAGTCCGCCCAATGAGCCTCCAAAACAGTACAAGAGGGCCCAAGAGGCCCCCAAGATGCTGCCAAGACGGCCCAAGGGGCCTCCAAGAGGACCTCCAGGAAAGCCCTAAGAGACCAAAATTATTGACGTCCCGTAGGTTTTCGCATTTGCTTCATTTTTGCCTTCCGACGGCCCGAGACGGCCCAATAGCCCCCAAAGATCGCTCAAGAAGCCTCCAGGATTGCCCAAGACAACCCAAGAGGCCCCCAAGACGGCCCAAAAAGGGCCCCCAGACGGCCCTAGAGGCATCCAAGACGCCCAAGATGGCCTCCAAGACAGCCCTGGAGCACCCCGAGAGGGCCCCCAGTCAGCCCAGAGAGACCCCCAAGACAACTTCCGACGGAGTCAGACGTGCCAGGAGCCCACCAATACGGCCCAAGATGGCTCCAAGATTGCCCAAGGGACCCCCAAGAGGTGCCCAAGGCGGCCCAAGAGGCCTCCAAGAGGGCCTCCAGGAAGGCCCGAGGCCAGCATCATGCATTCCCCGTAGTTTGTTGAAGCATTGTGTCAATTGCTTTTTTGTCGGCCTTCCGACGGCCCGAGACGGCCCAATAGCCCCCAAAGATCGCCCGATAGGCCTGCAGGATTGCTCCAAAACAGCCCAACAGGCCCCCAAGACAGCCCCAAGAGGCCCCCAGGCGGCCCAAGAGGCTTCCAGGACGCCCAAGATGGCCTCCAAGACGGCCCTGGAGCACCCCAAGAAGGTGGTAAGTCGGCCCAGAGAAGCCCCCAAGACGGCTTCCGACGGCGTCAGAAGGGCCAGGAATGCCATAAGACTGCCCATGAGCCCTCCGAGAAGCCTACAAAGGCCCCCGAAAGGTCCAAGGAGGCCCCCACGATGCCTCCAAGCGGCTCCCCGGAAGCTCCCAGGAGGCCCCAAGAGTGCCCCCATAGGCTCTCAAGATGCCCCCCTCGTCCTCCTCCTCCTCTTACTCCTCCTCCTCCTCTTCCTCCTCATCCTCCTCCTTCTCCTCCTCCTCCTCCTCCTCCTCATCCTCCCCCTCATCATCATCACCATCATCATCATCATCATCATCATCATCATCATCATCATCATCATCATCATCATCATCATCATCATCATCATCATCAAAATCATCAAAACCATCATCAGCATCCTTCGCCGTCTTCTTCTCCTTCTCCTCCTCCTCCTTCTCCTCCTCCTCCTCTTCCTGATCTTCCCCGCCATCCTCCCCCAGGTCTTCCCCGAAAGGGTTTCCACAACAGTTGGGGGGTCACATGGTCCGATAGCTTGTGGCAGACCTCTTGCCACAACGCTCGGCCACATGGGCGAGTTCAAAAGGCAGGGGGCGGCGGTGATTCGCCGTAGGCGTCTTCGATCTGAATGCATGGATGCTAATACGCACATGTACATACATATAGACACATGCAGGGAGTGAGAGAGAGTGAGAGAGAGAGAGCGATAGACAAAGAGGCGGAACGAGAAATAGAGAGAGAGGGAGGGAGGGGGAAAAAGAGAGAGAGAGAGAGGCAGAGGGAGGGAGAGCAACCACTCCCCCCATGTCCTTCAACCACTCCCCCATGTCCATTTCCAACCCCGCGCGGGCGCGTGGAAGGCGCGATGGTAACCGCCGCCCGCTCCCATTCCCCCCCCCCCGCGTTGCGCGTGAGCGCATGCGCATGCGCGCGCAAGCGCGTGGAAGTGCAAGGGTGCATGAGAGCAGCCGCTTCTCCCTCCCATGAGATAGCAGCCGCGTCCCCCGTGTACAAGCTCGCTCTGTGCGCTGCGCGCATGGAGAAAGGAAGCGAGAGAGAGAGAGAGGGAGAGAGGGAGAGAGAGAAAGAGAGAGAGAGAGAGAGAGAGACCACTCCCCCTTAGAGTTCCTCTTCTGCGCTGTGAGTGGAGAGTGCGAGGGGTACCAGCGCCCCCATCCCAATGCTCACGTTGCGTCGCGCGTCAAGTGGGCGAGGAAAAGAGAGAGCGAGAGAGGGAGAGGGACTGAGAGAGAGAGAGAGACAGAAATAAAAAGAGGGAACATAGAGAGAGAGAGGGCACTGCCCTCAACATTTCCCAATGCAGTCTGCGCATACGGAGTGCGAGCGCAAGATACAGAGAGAGAGAGAGAGACACAAGCAGGGAAAGAAACACACAGGCTACCCCCATTCCTACTTGGCGGCGAGGTGCAAGGGACGAGAAGGAGCATGAGGAAGAAATGTAGCACGCAGAACGCTGGGATCTGTCACACGAGTTACACCATTAACGATAGAGAGGCCAGGAATCGACACAGAGAGGGACGAGCAAAGGAGACAGGAAGAGAGAGAGAGAGAGAAAGAGAGACTTTCGGTGTCTGCCATGATCGTTAAAATCGTCATCGTCATCGCCGTCGCTGTCACTTTCAACGGTATCATCGACATCATTGTCATAATCACCGGTGGCTTCATCATCGTTGGTATCGCCCACACGGGGCGGTACAGCACGTCACAAGCTACCATTTTCGGAACAGCAAGAATACACGGGAGCGTCGAATAAAACAGTCGGCCCACTAGGCCATCCAGGGCTCTCAAGGGACCCCCAAGAGGGCCCCCGAAAGGCCCCACCACTCCTCAACCGAGCCCCACGAGGACCCAAAAGAGCCCCAAGGGGGCGCTAAGAGGCGATTTTGAAGGCCTCGTCCACGTTGTCCGCCTCCTCCTCCTCCACCTCGTCCTCGTCTTCGTCCTCGTCCTTGCCCTCATCGTCTTCCATTTCGTTTTCTCCTCTTTCTCGTCGTCGACTTCCTCCTCCTCCTCCTCCTCCTCCTCCTCTCCTCCTCCTCCTCCTCCTCCTCCTCCTCCTCCTCCTCCCCCTCCTCCTCGTCCTCGTCTTCGTCCTCGTCCTTGCCCTCATCGTCTTCCAGTTCGTTTTGTTTCTCTTTCTCGTCGTCGTCTTCCTCCTGATCCTCCTCCTCCTCATTCCCTCGCCCCCACGTGGGCCCCAAGGATAGCCCAGAGAATTCTCTGTTCACCCTGGTTGCCCGCTGTGTTTCACTATATGTCTTCCTTCGTCCAACTGTTCGTCAGCTCTCATGGGCAGGGCTTCTGTGCGTTACCCTGGGAGAGAAAGAAGGCCCCCACCTGGGGTCGCGCCAAGTGCATGTGTTTGTCATCAGGCACCTGGATCTAATTGTTCCGACTCGGGGGTCAAAACTAAACCCACTGACATGCCCAGTGGTGCGTTCCGATCAGAGTTTCAAAAGGAACCCAACCGTGGTGACAAGGAGCACCCCCACGAGGCCCCATAAAGGCGAAACGCGAAAACAGAAGTATCGATCATCGCCCGAATCGGGTCCCATGACGGCCCACGAGGACCTTGGTGGGAGTAGAAGAGAGCTCAAGAAGAGGGCACGAACAGCCATGTCGAGCCCTCTGCCTCGAGACGCCCATGACTGTTCACGCAACACGTGAAGGAAGCTACCATCACCCGGACACGCTGACAAAAGCCCGCAATGGAGCAGCCTGGGCATGGGGCAATGAGAGAAGCGACTAAGAGAACGCCTCGATATTCAATGCTCGCCTTTAGGGCAGCACCGAGGGGAGGGGCCCCCGCCTGTCACCGCCGGCCTCGCCGCCGCCCTCGCTGCAACGGTGGCCTCGGGCATCGCGGCGGCGCGACGCCTCCTGGTCCCCACGTTCCTGCTGCTCTCCTTGACCACACCTGCTGCGCCTCCTCCTCTTCTTCCTTCTCCACCTCCGCCTCCTCCGCCTCCTCCTCCACCGCCTCTTCTTCCTCCTCCTCCTCTTCGTCCTCCTCCTCCTCCTCCTCCTCATCATCGTCATCACCATCATCTTCCCCATCATCATCAGCAGCAGCATCTTCGACATCATCATCATCATCATCATCATCATCATCATCATCATCATCATCATCATCATCATCATCATCATCATCATCACCATCATCATCATCATCATCAGCAGCATCATCATCATCATAATCATCAGCATCATCATCATCATCATCATCATCGTCATCATCACCATCATCATCATCATCATCATCATCAACATCAGCATCATCACCACCGCCACCACCACCATCATCATCATCATCATCATCATCATCATCATCATCATCATCATCATCATCATCATCATCATCATCATCATCATCCCTATCCTCCTCCTCCACATCCTGCCCCTGATCGTCCTCCTCTCCTCTTTCGCCTCATCCTCCTTCCCCTCCTCTTCCTTCTCCTCCTCTTCCCATCCCGCCTCCGCCTCCGCCTCCGCCTCCGCCTCCGCCTCCGCCTCCTCCTCCTCTCCTCCTCCTCCTCCTCCTCCTCTCCTCCTCTTCCACTTTCTCTTCCAGCTCCTCCTTCTCCTCCTCCTCCTCCTCGTCCTCGTCCTCGTCCTCGTCCTCGTCCTCCTCTCCTCCTCCTCCTCCTCCCTCCCTCCTCCTCCTCCTCCTCCTCCTCCTCCTCCTCCTCCTCCTCCTCCTCCTCCTCCTCCTCCTCCTCCTCTCCTCCTCCTCCTCCTCTCCCTCCTCCTCCTCCCTCCTCATCCTCTCCTCCTCCTCCTCATCCTCTCCTCCTCCTCCCTCCTCCTCCTCCTCCTCCTTCCTCCTCCTCCTCCTCCTCCTCCTCCTCCTCCTCATCCTCCTCGTCCTCCTCGTCTTCCTGATCGTCCTCCTCCACCTCCTTCTCCTCATCCTCATCATCATCATCATCATCATCATCATCATCATCATCATCATCATCATCATCATCACCACCACCACCACCACCACCACCATCATCATCATCATCATCATCATCAGCATCATCATCATCATCATCATCATCGTCATCATCATCATCATCAGCATCAGCATCATCATCATCATCATCAGCAGCAGCAGCATCATCATCAGCAGCAGCATCATCATCAGCATCAGCATCATCCTCCACTCCTGGTCATCCTCGTCCTGTTCCTCCTTTTCCTCCTCCTCCTTCTCCTCCTCCTCCTCCTCCTCCGCCTCCTGTTTCCTCCCATCCTCCGCCTCCGCCACATCATGCGGCTCCCGCCCCAGTGCCGCAAGCAGTCGTCTTACACAATTGTACCGCCGGACCGAGGCCAGAAGAACATCCCCCAAGAACACGAGACCCTCGGCCCGCCAAAAAACAAAGAGAACCCAAGGGCGTACCCTCCCCAGGAGGCCCGAGGAACCTCGAACAGGCACGAAGAATATTGGGAGACACTCCCCGAGCCGACCTCGACCTTTACCACAAAAGGCCACAGGACCGCGCGACCACCGCTGTCGAAAGCCAGGCGGGCCGGCGCCCGCCCGGCGCCGCTCTGTCGCCTCCGTCGGAGCCTCCAACTGTAAGCCCCTGCGCGCCCGCCCTGCCGCTGGGCGGCGACATGCCGCAGCTGCCCCCAGAGGCTTCGGGAGAGCACCGCAAACCGCGGAAACCGACGAGCGCTCCGCACTCGGCCACGGGCCCACCGCGCCAGGGGGTCTGATCTGGGGGGGCGTAAGACCCGGGTACAGGGGACTCGGAAGTCCCCGACGAGGTCGTCAAGAAAATGACGAGGCCGAGCCTGCATTTTGACGAGGCCTCCCGCTGCAGACATCCCACGAAACTCCTCCTCGTCAAAATCCGAGTCGCGGTCGTCAAAAAACGATGGCGAACCCGAGTCCTGGCAAACCCAGGTCTTACGCTCCCCCGATCTGAGACGGCCTGCCGAGGGAGAGGGCGAGGACGGGAGGGCCCCGAAGCTGGAGGCCTGCCCTGCGAAAAAGATGGAAAGAGGCGCGGCATCACTGGCCCATGACGGGAACACCTCCTCGGGCTCGCAAGATCGGGACTCACTCCGCCGACCTTCGCGCAGAACCCATGGAGGGCGGCACAGAAATGCCTGCGCACACAGGCTTCGGACCGGCCGCCCCGGCGCCAGCGCGCGGGGGGCCCCGGTCGAAAGTCCCGCGCGCATATCTTCCAAATCTGACGCCAACGCCGACCGCCAGTCCTCGCATCCCTACCTTCCGCCATTCGACAAACTGTCTTATATCGCTGGACCTACCTCCATCGGCGCAGGGCGGACCAGGGCGACTCTTTCGGTGATCTTCCGTTGCGCCTCCGACGTGGAGGCATCAGGGATATCATAACTATCGAAGTTCCAATGGTAGAACAGAGAGTTCGGTGCCCAGACCTGAAGATACAGAACGCGGCCGGCAACGGCCTCTTCTGTCAAATTCGAAACCGAAGCTACCCAAGCGCACGAGGGACACGCGCGGCCCCCCTCGCTTTGGATCCGCGATGAACTTCAGTATCGACCAGATAGTCAATCTGAACGACAACACTGAAATTCCTACAGACACCTGAATCTAGCCAAAGAACAGAAGATGCAAACCGAACCCTCTCCTGAACGATGGCCGAGGTATGACCATTGAAATCAAGCGCGAAAGACCTGCCGCGCCGCGGACCCTCCAGCTTGCACTCTTGCCCGAGCCGAGAGGCGCAGGCCGCGAACCAATTCCTGATTCGCTCTGGGATCTGACTGACGCTGGTGTTTTCTCGCGTGCCGATCGTGCAGAAACAGATCTCAACAAAAGGAAATGCAACATTGGTGTGCGTTTAATACGGCATGCTGGCAAACCTCAGCAACCGCGAGCTGGCCGCCATGGGTCTGCTGGAGGCACACTGGCGCCGACAAACAAACAACCGCAGACGACGACGAAGTGCACCAGGATCATGATGGCACAGCGCACGGAGTGTTTCGCGTGACGAAAATGGCGGCATCACCGCCAAGCCAAGTGCTACCCACTCCACACGACCTTCTTGGGGGAGAAGAGCAGATCTCCCACATGTAGAACGCGGTCGACATCGCTGCCCATGTCTGCGATGCCGCTGCGATTCCATCTGGTTTTTGGAGCATCATGCGGTGAGACCTCGACCTTCGCGACCGCCTCCTATTGATAAGACTGCACTCATTCACGGCCAACGTAGATGCGGTACTGGGGTGAGAGCGCCTTCTCGATGGCCAGTTTGAGAGTTCGGCAGGCCTTCTCCCCCAGGACGTCGCAGCGTTTCTAGTCATGACTTACAAACATGTCGATCGGTCTGTTCCCAGGGCCAAGCACGTAAAACTTCCTCATGACTCCAGCACGAAGCCGAGGACCAGCACGCGCATGACGCATCCTCGACTGGCGGCCATGGGACCTTCGAAGCGCAGGATGATCGACCTGCTGACCTTGGGACCCTCCACCTTGCATTCTTGTCTAATTCCTGGATGCACCCGGCGATCTGCCTGACACTGACCTCCACGCGGGCGCTGGTCGCAAACATGGACCCAGCGATCTCCCTGACCCATTCCGCCGTACGCTCGGCAGCGGCCCACACAGGCTGAGCTCCTTCCCGAGGCGTTCGAGACGCGCCGCCATGTCCTTCTGAGAGGCGGCAAAAGCATCAACACGTTCCTCATTCGCAACAACTCGATCCACCAGTTCTTGCATCCTCCTGTTGGCAATTTGATTGAATTCCCCGAAAGTGGTCGCAATAGCCTTGCGAAGCGCACCTGGCAACGTTCCTCATGGCTCCTTGCACATATCTGAGACATCTCCGAAAGACACGCATCTCTGAACCAACCAGCCCTCTGGGCGACAGGTGGTCTAACGAGGGTCTCGTTCCTCTTCCACGACCCCTCTTCCCTTCGGGGAGGGGAACCCTCCCCCTCCCCTCCCTGGTTTTTTTGGGGAAGGTGGCCCGGTGTGTCAGAGGGTCATGTTTCGGCCCCTGGGAGGGTCGCTTTTCGACACCCCTCACGGGGATCGTGCCCCCCCCCCCCCCATGGCCCGGAAGCTACATCGAGGACCCCCATTGTTTGACCGACCGCCTCCAAGATGGCCCCCAGAGGCCCCCCCCAGGGCTCCCAAGAGGCCCACAAGCGGGCTCCAAGAGCGCCCCAGGAGGCCCCCAAGAGGCCTCCGAGAGGCACCCGAGGGGCACTCAGGAGCCCCCCGAGCGGCCTCAGAGAGCCCACGGTGACCTCCAAGATAGTTGGCTCCAAATGGCCCAAGCTGGCTCAAGATGGCTCCCGAGATGCTCCAAGAGGCCCCAAGACCGCTCCAAGACGGCTCGAGATGGCCACGGAGCCTCCCCAGGAGGCCGCCTCGCTGCTTGACTATGCGTGTCTCTTCCTCTCTCCCCCCGTCAGATCTCGTGGGCATCGTTTCTGGATGGGCTGATGGGGATACGCGAAGCAACACTAATCATTCGAACATGGACTCCTGCATCTCGCCCATCGCCTGCCGCATGGAAGCAGCACTCCAAGGATCCACACCACTTCGTGTATTGCCAGCCTGTGCCACTGCGTTGCTGAGTGCTGCATGTGCAGGACCATCTTCTGCCACCTGGGTGCGTGGAGTGGCCAGCTGTTCAAGAACACCACCACCAACAGGAGTAGCCGTACCAACTTCTTGAGAAGGGAAGGTGGCAGCCTCATCCAGCGAACGAAGATCCTGTGAGGAGGGGGCGCAGCTGTCGACCGCACGCATCTCAACATCCGATCCCCCAGCAAACCCCGATGCACGACGGTCATCATCGCGGTCACCTTGGCGCGCCGACCCCGACGCTGAGCAGAGAATGGGGACGAGATGTTGGTGATGCGGTCCCACGGGATGATGGATATGAGCTTTGCGTCCTTGAACGTCTTCCGTGCTTTTTCTTCTTGAGCTGCTTGGCACGCTCCCGCGCCTCTGACTTGCCAGCAGGAGCACCTCCTGGCATCGCAGTCGCGCCAGCAGGAACTGGAAACTCCACAGATTACCCGCTGGCTAGACTGCCAGCTGGCGTACAAAAAGACGGTGACCGAGGGAAGGGCTAATGTGGGGGGCCTCGATCCCACAGGGGAAGCCCACACTCACTGCCAGGCAGAACTGCCCTGCCTGCCTCGGACTAGAAATCTCTACTTTACCCACGGGGGAATCATGACGTTGAGCCTAAATGGCTACGGTCGAGGGAGGAGGGGGAGGAGGAAGAGAAGGAGAAGGGAGAGAACGATGAGGAGGAAGAGGACGACGAACACGACGAGGAGCTGAGGGCGAGACGGAAGAGCAGGAGAAGAAGGACGAGGTCGGCGTAGTGTGTTGTACCAGGTAACGTGGCCCTGGGGGCTGTGGGCTGGTCAGAATCGCGTAGTGGAGCCAAGGTCGACATCACAAACCAGGTAGGCGGATAGCGTCCCAAGATTACAAATATTGAGCGGGGGGCCCAGACGGGAGCCGAAGAACACATGTGGGAACACTAGGAGCCAACAATTGACGGAAATTCACGCTTGGGAACACCAGGAGCCAAACCGTTACGAAAGTTATACGCTCGGGAACACCAGGTGATGGTGATGAGGAGGATGCCGCTGAGATGGTCAGATGGTGATGTTCTTGAGGATGGGGCGGAGGGGTGAGACGAGGTTTCTGCGCTGTCGGACCTCGGCAAGTCAAGAACCCCACTTCGGATGTGAAGAACAGCCATAGTGTGATAGATATGGAAATGTAGGCCAGCGCCTCGGCGAACCCACTCTCCCTTCGAGCACGCAGCTGGGACAAACAAGGATAAGGGAGCAGACAACGAAATGCGAGGGAGGGAGGGAAGGTAAAGATCTTTGGCGGCTGAGGCCCCGGCGGATACGTAGAAGTGGCACTGCGCTCAGGAGCGCCTCCTCCGCAGGAGAGAATGAAAGCCGAACGACTGGCTTAGCGCAGTTCCTCCTACACCGTTGCTCAATAAAGCTTGGTCATTTATCTACACGGGCGTATGGTGGAATGTCTGCCCTCTTTCGGGCCACGCGTGGTAGAGGCACGACCAGGGGACCAGAAACGACGAAGTCCTTTCTTGATATCGCCCCATGCTGCTGGCCCCTGGACGCTCCTGGCGACCCCAGAAGGCTCTCTGGAGTGGCGCGCAAGGACGCATCTGCCCGGGGGCACTCTGCCCGTCGCGCGGGGGGGGGCCTCCGCAGGGAGGCCGTGTGACGCATGGGCTGACGCCGAACAGAAGAACGCGAGCTGGATGTAAGCGGATTAGTTGCGACATGACCAGGATGTCAGCTCGCATGGGGGAAACGCGTCCTGAGGGAAAACGGGTCCTGGACCCTGGGGCCTTCCCCCAGGACGAGTTCTTCATCCTCGGTCGCTTTCTGACGGCCCCAGCGCCTGCGGAGGGCCCCAGGAGGCCCAAAAACGACGAACAACATCTGGCCCCAGTTCCCCCAAGACCCGTTTACCCCATGGCAAGTCAGGGGGCACGGCGCTTCTTTTCGAGCTGTGCCCGGCACACGTTCACCTTCACTCTACTCTGGCGTCGCAGTTCTGTCCGTGAGATGGGCCCCCCACAGGAACCTCGACCCAATCCCCGGGGCCAGTTTCTTTTCGCCCGCGAGCCGTTTCTGTACGGCCCCAGGGCCGAAGAACCGCCCCGAATCCGCGCAACCATCCCAAAACTGGCTGCCGCGTTGTGTATGCTTTACGCAACGACGGATGCACATGGCAGGTAGGCCATAGGCCACGTCAGGCATGCCAGGCGCCTGCACGGCGCACCTGACCTGTCGGCGTGTGTGAGGGGGGTTTGGGGCTGGTCTTCCTGGGGTGGTCCTGGGAGACGCCCTTTGAGTCGAAACTTTTCCTCCCTTCCCAGCAGCCACCTTTGGTGCTCCATCCTCGCCAACCCCGATGTGAACCGAACCATGTCGCATTCTGGTGGAAAGGAAGCCCGAAGCCCTTTCAATTTGATCCCTTCCCGCCCAGAGGGGTCCCAGGTGAGGGGTCCCAGGGGTCCCTGGAAGGGTCCCGTGGTGGGGACCCGGGTCAGAATGCGCCCCTCTTGGCCTGTGGGGTAATCTTGAGGCCAGTTCGGCCCTCTTCTGGCAACCTAAGTCCAAGACACCTCATACTGCCCCAACCCAAGAGGCCTTCAAGACGGCCCAACAAGGGCCAGAAGACGAGACAAAGTGTGCATGAACCCGCTGGACCCGCTTAATCAGTGCATCAGACGATGAATGATCAGCTCCAGCTCTCATCATGCAAAGAGCTGCCTCATAGCTCACAAATCTCTCTGCGACTTCAACAAATTCATCAGTTCAATCGCGCTCCAGTCGAAAACATGATTTTCGAAACCCACCCCCCTACCTTTGCCCCTCAGGGGAGTAGGTTTCCATTTTCACTGCCAATGCTCACGTAGCCGGCGCCTCGCCTGTCGCGCTGTGAATGGCGCGCTCGTAAGTCGGGGGGGCAGTGAGGAGAGGGGCACCTTCTCCCCTGGGAGATGCATGCGCCGGGGACCCTAGGATATGTCCGAGAGACCATGCGGGATTTCTGGAGCCCTGCACTCGCACATGAAGCTGCAGAAGATGAGCACGAAGCACCGCGTCATGTGAACACAACGGCCTGGAGAACCCGCATCACCCCGCGTGGACTGACAACGCTCCAGGCGCGTGGCGTCACAACGAGTTCTCAGACACGGCGTCAGCATAAGGCGAGTCGTCACCTCCGCCTGGCGTCTCACGAGGCGCCTGGGCGCCCTGGGCGGAGTCCTCTCCCCGCGCGGAGTCCGCGCCGCTCGGCACGAGGGGGCCTAGGAGGGCGCTCCAGGGGCCGAGGGACGCCCCGGGGGGGCCCGTGCTCTCGTCCACGACGTCGAGCGACCTGGGACAACCGACAAAGGGATGAAGCTGGAGGCGCGCACGCAGGTGGCCTTGCGCATCGGACAGCTTCTCGCAGACCGTCTCGCCGTAAGGCTCCTTCATGAGATCCACGCACTTCCTCTTCAGCGAGCCAAGCGCTTCGGGGCCACCCTGATTCTTCCTGGCCTGAACAGTAATCTCAAGCTGGGCTCGCGCAATCGAAGCAGTCAGTGGCCCATCAGACTCGAAGAGGAACGCGACCGTTTCATTCCAGACAGCGTCGCGGATGCGACAACCATCGCCTTCAAGAGGCAAGGCCTGATGAAGAGTGACCGCCTCCTCCAGCAGCCTCTGCGCCCCCTGCTCGCCACAAATCACGCGCGCAGCCTGCTGGGTCTCCCGCTCTTCGAAACATGCACCTTGAGGCAAATCTGCTCGACAACATTGATTCTTGAGTTTGGAGGCCGATCCCTCACCGTCCCGGCTCAGAGCTTCAAGCAGATGACGGATTGGAGGGGCTGGATCGGTGCAGTGCCAGTCACCGCGGCCAACAACTAACCGCGCTGGCGGATCAGTTGAAACTGACAGTTCGTATGCAGTGAACTCCTCCTTGTACAGGAGCCCTGTCGCATGGTAAATATCCACGCGCAGCATCCACACTGGGCCACTCGGCTTGCCGACCACCCATGGCTTCACCGGCTGAGATTCCAGTGCCGTTCCAATCGCATCAGCGTCATCCGGAGTATGTCTGGAAAACTTCCTGAACTGGCAGACCAAGCTGAGACCAGGACCCAACTCATCAGAATCAGGACTCTGATATAAATCAGGTTCTGAGTGTTTTGCTGACTGGGCCTCCTCTTGCTTGGTGCTCTGTGTGATCAGGAACTGGCCCATATTTCGGTAAGTGAATCGCCGTCCTGACTGCGCCACCTCGGCGAGGGGCACAACCATGCACATGTCTGTTGCATTGTGCGTCGCAGTGATGCGAAGGTGTTGTCTGCCAGAGTCCCAGACAAGGAATTCACCATGCGTGCACGTCTTCGCCTCTTCACCTCCGAAAGCAATGTGTACTGGTTGCGAGGCATCCTGTTGAGAGATTTCAAAACGCAGCACGCCTTCGGGATTTGGATGTGCTAGGTCAGCCACGTCACACGGATCCCAACTATAGAAAAACGGGTTCTGACAACTGACAGAATTACAAATGACCTGATTCAGAGCTCTTGTGATCCGTTCCTCGATATCTACGAACATGCCGACACCCTTTGCGAGAAGGCCGTTCTCCATAGTGAAATGCACGGTCGTGGGGTTGGGGAAATTCGCCGCCGTATGCGGGTTGGGAAAATCCGCCACTGTGCCCTCGGCACGCTGGGGCATGCTGAGATGCTTGTTCGCTGTCTGGTGAGGTCCCCGTGGATTCCGAAGTCGCCCACCTTCGTGCACCGCGCCCCCGCGAGGCGCGATCACCTTCGCGCCCCCGCGCCGCCGCCCTGGAGAAGGGCAGCTCTCCGGCGCAGGCCGCGGCGCGCGAAGGCGCGACGGTCCTGGCGCCCCTAAAGGGGGCGACCCCGGGGACGTCAGGGGGCGCCCGCACGCCCCCCGGCCGCAGAGAGCATGTCGACGTTCCGTGGGCTGCGCTCGAGTGGGAGGTGGTAAGGCGAGGGGGCGAAGAAGCGTGCACATGTCGTGCCCCTTTCGGGCCCCAGGGGGCCCACGCAGGGCCTGTCAAGTGCACGAGGCATGTACTTGTGTCACCCCATCGCCTTTATCGCCAACACAGTTCGCAACGCCCAGCATTCACCCCCGTAGTTTGCTATCTGGCGCTCGAGGATGAAAGATTGCAAGTTGCTTCCGGCCGCGCGCGGCTGCATCAAGATCGCGGAGCCACTTCGACGCGCAATCCCACCCGCCTAAATGCCAATGGTGGCTTGGAACGGAAGCCCCAAATCAGGGAAGATAGAATAGCGCAGGTCAGACTTGAAATATGGGATGGGGAATTGTGTTCATAGCTTACCAACGCCCGATGCAGTTTCCGGATTCGTTTTCCCGATTACTCACACAACTTGCGTTAGTTTGTCCCCCACTGCGTTCGGTTTGACGTCGCGGCCCGCCCCGGGTGGGTGGCTGCTGGGCTGGAGCCAGCTTTAAGTCGGGCGTGTCCCCCTACAGGGGGATTTTGGGAGAAAATTTCAAAAACATACCCCAAAAATGCACAACAAATAATCACACAGGAAAGTCCCCAGACTATTTTTGGACCATCCATGCACATTCCCGCTGTAGAGGGGCAGGCCCGACTTAGAGCCAGCTGTATTGCTCTGGGCTGGCCTGGGCTCGCCGAGACTGAGCTGGGCTGGTCTCTGCGCTGGTCCGAACAGGGCTGAACCTCGCACTTGCCGTCGCTCGGGCGACCATTCCCTGTGCGTTTTTCGGTTATGTGCGTTTTTTTTTTCTTGCTCGATGATCCAGGATGCTCTTCGATGGTCCTCGCCGAGAAAAAAAACACTTTTTACCATCCAGAGAGCGCCCAGTGGCAGGGGGGGAGGGAACGAAGACAAAGGACGACGAGAAAAAATGCACACGTCCGAGCGATGCCAAGCTCAGGACTGAGCTGCCTTTCCGCTGCGCGCGCGCAGGAATTACCTCGGCTTCCCCTGCCTCGCGCGGGCGGGGCCGCGCCTGCGCCGCGCCCGGGCTCGCCGCGCGGGGCGCGCGCGGCCATGACCGCGCTCGCCGCGCCCGGCGCAGCCTGGGCGCCGCGCTGGGCGAGGCCCCGACGCTGCGCTGAGCGCCGCCTGACACTGCTGCGCGGCCGCGCGGCGAAGCCCAGCGCGCAGGGCGACGACAGGGTAGCCGCGCGCACGCGCCACGCTTGCATGTCCCCAATGTGAACGCTCCTTTGTCTGTTGAGTATTCTCTGGACACGAAGGGGATACATATATGACTACTGCTTTGGAACCTCGGGCATTTGCATTTCCCACGCGCGAGAAAGGTAGTGAAATGGATGAAGCGTGCCCTTTGCACTAAGAAGAGACAAGTCGAAATCCGCTGATAATTGACGTTTTGAGATCGGCCTTCAGACATGTGTTCATATCCAAGTACTACTCACATAGCAGGAAGACGCTCGAATTTGCAAACTTCAAGCGCGGCGCGCGTGCGCGCGGCGTCCCTGACATCGCCCGATGCACTGGGCGGGCCGCGCGCAGGAATCGCCCAGGCTGCGCCTCACGCGCCGGGCCCGCGCCGGGCCCGCGCAGGTCCCAGTCGCGGGGCCCAGGCCAGCCGCGCGAGGCCCAGGCGCGGCGCAGGCGCGGCCCGGGAGCCAGTCTGCGTTCTGGCCAACTCATTTCCTGCGGGGGTCGATGGCGGCTGGGCAAGCAGACTTCGCCCCTCCCCCCCTCCTCCCCTCCCCTGGCAATCGCTCGGACGTCCATTCCCTGTGCTTTGTTTGGTTTCGTGCGTGGTTTTTCGCAGGATGATCCAGGATGCTCCTTAATAATCCCCGCCGAGAAAAACACGTCCGAGCGATACCAAGTCCCCCCCCCGCCCCGCCACCGCCGCCGTCCGCCCCAGCGTGAGGGCGACCTCGCGTGCGAAAGTCCGGTCGGCAGCCAGAACCAGAAGAAGAGCTTGCGCATCTGGTCCGCTGGCTGGCAACGGCCCTCTGTGCGCAAACGAACGGGCGACATCTCATTGGGCGCGAACCGTCCTCGGGGGTCGGATGTCCCGTCCGCGACCACGGCAAGACCAGCTGATCGAAAGGCCGCAAACAACTTCCCCGAGAGACCAGGCAAATCAAAACGCACATTTCACTCTGAAAGCTCAATCGCGTCGGTCATGGCCCGGTAGAACGCGTGGACATCCCGTTTGATTTCTGCCAGGCACAGGCAATGGAAACTGGGGCGATGAGCTGCAACGTATGTATGTCTAATACATACATATACAGATATAGATATACATTATATATATGCATATATACATACATATATATATATATATATACATATATATATATACACATCAGCGTGCGCGGGTGCGAACAATTAACTGCATGTGCTTACATCGGTGGGAAAGAAATATCGAAAGTTGCTGTTGTCTGCGCGTGAAGCTGCATCAAAATCGCGACGCCACCTCGACGCGCAATCCCCATCCCCTAACGTGTCAATGATGGTTTCGAGCTGGAACCTCAAAACTGGGAGGACAAAATAACGCAAGTCAAGATTGAAAAGTGGAATGGTGGAAGATTGTCAGAGCTTAGAAGCGCCTAATGCAATTTCCAGTTTAGTTTTCTTTACTGTTCAAACAACTTGCGTTATGTTGTCCCCCTACTGAGACCCAAGCAACTACCTCCCCAAGACGGCTACACGATGCCAACTGATCGGCAGCGGGATGGCCCAGCGCCCTCCCAGAGGCCACACTAGAATGCAAATGGGCCCAAGAGGCCCAACGCTGTCATCCGAGACCCCCGTCACTTTTACGGCACCGCCGGCCCCACCGAGAGGAAGGAACAGGGAGACGGAGAACGTGCAGGCGGGAGGCCACGGCTGGCGGGACGAAGCGGGTGGGTGGGCAGGCCAAGAGAAAGCCTCTGGAAGGCCGGCATCCAAGGAAGAGCCTTCAGTGCTCGTTGCTGTTCGCGTCCAGCGCATCTCCGCCCGAGATGGCCCGAAGAAGGCCCCTGGGCCCCAGCAGGCCCCGCGGGCGGCCCCCAAGCCGGCCCCAAGACTGCCCAGAGGGCCCCGACAATCCTCCGTAATACTTGGAAGAAGCCTCCAAGAGGCCCCGCACAGGGCCCCCAAGAACCCCAGAAGACTACAAAAGTGTCCCATCAAAACGACTGATGTGGGTGCACCTTCTGGATCCTCGAGATGTGGAACTCTGAGAACCACGCGCCCGTGCCACAACCTCTGGACCCGGGAGGCCTCGACACGAACTAGACGTGGACGGCCCGGGGGCGTGCCCGGGGCAGTGCCTGAAGGTGTGCCTGGTGACGTGCCCGTGCCTGGTGGCGCGTCCAGAGGCGTGTCTCGGGCCGTGCCCGGGGGCGGTTCTGAGGACGGGCGCGTCACTGTCCGGACCTTCGGCGCGCCGTCTTTGAGCGAGCGCTCGCGTAATGCGCTTTGAACTGTCCAGGGGCGCACAGGCATCTGGACCTGGTACGCACCGTCCTGGAGCGGGCAGGCACGGCATCGGGGGATTGGGGATCACCAGATCGGGGCCAGATCCGGCGACGGGACCTAACGAACTGGCGACCCCCGCAAGCAGGCAGACCTCTGCCTTCTACGACGGACATCAACAGACCTCTGAGGATTTCGAGATGAGGACCCGCAAACAAGCAGGCGCCTTGCGATTTTGAGATGAGGATCCGTGGCTTCTACCACAGACACGCAACTCGAAGGTGCGGATTTCCATAAAGATTACGCTGCCTGTGGAGGGGGGCAACTCTGGGGCGTGTCTTGAAGCGTAAATGGACCCCACATCATGGCACAAGCACAGGGGCGTGGCTGGGGTCGTGCCTGCGGCCCTTCAATTCCCCTTCATTCCGTCAAATTCTCCTTGTCGCCCAATTCGGTTCGTCCTGTTCGAATGCGATCGATTCGATTCATCCTGTCCGATTCGTCCGCTGTTCATTTCGTATCATTTCAATTCGTCCGCTGTTCTTTTGGCCCGGTTTCAATTCGTCCGCTTTTCACTCCGTCTGTTTTCACCTCGTCTGGTTTCAATTCGCCCGTTCGAAAAGCGTGGCAGTCCGCTTCGCGCGCGTTTCGAGCGGGTGTCGATTCATTCTGGCCTCACTCCGTCCAACTTGTAATTATTCATCTGGTTTCAATTCGTCTGGTTTAATTCGTCCTGTTTAGATCGACCGCTCAACACGCGCTGGTCCGCCCAGCGCGCGTTTCGAGCTGACGAAATGACAGGGCGAAATGAAGAAGTACGAAACGAAGGAGGACGAAACGAGGATGGACGAAACAAAAGCGAACGAAACGAACGAGGACGAAACGAAAGAGGACGAAACGAAAGAAGACGAAACGAAAGCGGACGAAAGGACAGAAGACGAAGAGGAAGAGGACGAGACGAAAGAGGACGAGACGAAAAGGGACGAAACGAAAAATAACGAAACGAAAAAGGACTGAACACGACGAGCACAACAAACCAACACGTAAAAATAACCACAAAACGCATAGGCCCGCGCATATTCATGGGATCGGCGCCGGAAGCGTGCCCCGCTCCTCTGGTGCCGCCCCTGGCGCGCTCCACGCGCAAGCGAGGGGAGTCCAGCGCCGATCCAAGCAATCAGCGCGGCCCCCATGAAGATTACGCTTACGACTGGAGGTTGGCGGCGCATTGACCAGCAGAGCACTTCCAGGGCGCTCCCAGGGCGCTCCACCTTGCCCCTCTGCGGATGAGGAGGAGGAGCAGCAGGAGGACCACCGCAAGGGCATCAAACATAAACATTAGCTTTCGGAGGCCCGCACGCATTTGTCGGATCGGCGCTGGAGGCGCGCCCCGCGCCTCCGGTGCCGAGCCTGTCACGCTCCGCGCGTCAGGGAGGGGGGCCCAGCGCCGATCCAAAAAACCAGCGTGGTTCTCCGAAAGTTGATATTTAAGCATGGCGGTTGACGGCCACCAACCAGGGCGCTCTCCAAGCGCACCCAGGGGACTCCCACGGCGCCCCCGCTTGCCCTCTCCTCCTTCTCCTCCTCCTCCTCCTCCTCCTCCTCCTCCTCCTCCTCCTCCTCCTCCTCCTCCCCATCCTATCCCCCCTCCTCATCCGAATCATCATCCTCGTCCTCATCATCATCCCTCATCTTCCTCGCCTGCTCCTCCTCCTCTTCCTCCTCCTCCTCCTCCTCCTCCTCCTCCTCCTCCTGTATTTGTTCTTTCTGAACCTCCCTCCTCCCTCCTCCTCCTCCTCCTCCTCCTCCTCCTCCTCCTCTCATCATCATCATCATCATCATCATCATCATCATCATCATCATCATCATCATCATCATCATCCTCATCCTCATGCCGTCCGCCTCCTCATCCGTTTCCGAGACTCAGGTGCGGACCCTAGCCCTGGAGTGAGGCAGGACGACGAGGGCGGCGACGACGATGGCGGCGACGACGACGACGACAGAGACGACGAGGAGGACAGCGGCAGCTCCAACGGCGACGACAACGACGACGACGACGACGAGCTCCACCACGACGACGACGATGACCACGACGATGACGGCGACGGCGGCGCCGGCCACGACGACGACGACCACCACGACGCCGATGACGACCACCACCACTTCGATAGCGACGCGGACGTCGGCGGCGGCGACGACAACGACGGAGACGACCGCCGTGACGATCATCGCCACGACGACGACGAGGACGGCGGCGGCGACGACGACGGAGACGGCGACGACGACGACGACGACGACGACGACGACGACGACGACGACGACGACGACGACGACGACGACGACGACGGCGGCGACGACGGCGGCGGCGGCGGCGGCGGCGGCGGCGGCGGCGACGACGACGACGACGAACACCACCACGACGACGATGACCATAACAGCAATGGCGATGCCGGCGACGACGAGGACGACGACGACGGTGAGGACGACGGCGGAGGCGGCGACGACGAAGACGACGACGACGAGCACCACTAAGACGATGACCCCGACGACATCGATTACGATGACCACGACGACGGCGGCGGCGGCGACAACGACAACGAGCACCACCACGACAACCAACACCAACACGCAACAACGACAACGGCAACTAAAACCGGGATATCAATTCGCCTGGTGTAAGTTCGTCGCCCGGTGTCAGTTCGTCCAGGTGCTATCCGTCCAGTGTCCATTCGTCCAGTGACAGTTCGTCCGTTGTCCAGAGAACGAAGCGACGGAAGACGAAACGAACTGCAGACGGAGGACGAAACGAAAGAAGCTAACACGAAAGTCGACGAAATGAAAAAGGACGAACCGAATGATGACAGAAAGAAACAAGACGAAATGAAACGGACGAAATGGACGTCCACCATTGGGGACGTGCCCGGGGTCTGGGGAACGTGCATGGAAACGTTTTTGGGAGCGTTTCGGGTGACGGCCCGGGTGACGTGCCTGGGACTGTGTGACGGGACATGCCTGGAGACCTCTCTTGCACGCTCAGAATGTACCTGGGGCGTATCTGGTTCGACCTGGAGCGCGCACAATCCTCGAGCGGGCACGCACGACATGCACCTGGAACGGTTCTGAGGCGCAAGATTGCCTAAACCTAAGACGCACCATCCTGAAGTGGGCATGCTCGGAACCCACCTGGGACGGCTCCAGGAAACACAAAGCGGTCTGGACATGGGACCCGCGATGTTCGAACGGCCACGCACGGGATGCACACGCGCGGTCTGGACCTGGGACAAGCCATCCTCGACAGAGGACGCTGCAGATTGCGATTTTGAGGTCGAGCCAGATCGAACGACGGGGGCTGATAACAGCAGAGAGGGAGGAATGTGCAATTGCATTGAAATCTGGCTGCCATGCAAGCCCGACAGAGACCGCTAGAAGCTTTGACCACAACTGCCACAGTCACCATGCGACACCACGGTCACGCCCCAATCTGCTACCCAGAGTGCACCAGCATTGTCCACCGAACGCATCGGAAAGCTCGGTGGGCCCATTCCGAACAACTACTGGTCGATGCTGCACTGGCACGCTGGCGGGGTCTGCCGCAGGCGGCCGGATACACCCTCACGCCGCACTCATAATGTTCAATGACCAGCGTGCCTAACGTCCAAAACTCGCCAGCCCCCCCTGCGGGAGCCATCAGGCTGCGAGGCGCATGTTCCAGCAAATGAGCAGCTTCTGCCGAACCACCGCGACGAAGCGATTCGTAGCATGGCAGTTGCCCTCGGGAGCTTAGCAACACGGCAACTGAGATGTGCCATTCACCAGTTCCCACCGCACAGACTGTTCAGTACCCCCTGGGAGGTGAGGCCCGAATTTTCTGAGAACGAGCGAGGCCACCAACGACCCGAAAGGATACTTTCGCCACTCCCAAACCATGCTCACTGGCTTCATGTATGCCTCTGGGGCACACAGAGGTGCAACTGATCTGTACTGCCACGATCCCTCGTAAAGGCTATGGGTCCACGCCTTCCAGGCCACGATGCTGCAATGGGTCCGTTCCTTCGAGGCAACGGATCGCTGCAAAAAGCAATGGGCACGCGCTGTCAAGGCCGCCACGACTCCTCGTAAGTGGTTAGACCCGCCAGTAACCCAGCACTATACAGCTGCGAGTAACGCAGGATATGATCCTTTCCTCATATGTAGCGCGCCGCGGGAGAGGGGGACCCTGGGGCAATACTGAGGGTGGCTGCGAAACGTGTGCAGTGAGAGCCAAATTGGAAAGCGGCGGCACCATGCGGACCGTGCCACAGAGGCCCCTGGCGGTCCTCCATAGTAGCCCACGCAGCGTGTACAGGGTGTGCAGGAATGGGCGCGGCGAGGCTATATAGACCCTGCCACTGGGGCCTTCGGTGGAGCTGCCTACGAGGCAACGAAACATGTGAGGTGTGCCGAAAACAGGCGGGGGCGGTACGAACCCTCCCACTTGGGCCTTAGATGAGGGGTGCGCCCGCATGAACTTTGGGACGCTACGCTGTCGCGCCCACGGTTACCGTACGCTGAGCTCCCTAAGGGGCGCGTCGATATGAGATCGGGATCGGGAACCCCATGCGGTCGCCCACTCAGTTAACTGCTGAACTCCCCAAAGGGCACGAAACGTGTGAGAGACGGGCTCGGGGATGCCATGCGGTAGCGCCCACTGAGACTGCAAGAGGAGCTCCAGAAGGGCACGAAACGTGTAATCTGTGTGCCGAGATGAGCTCGGGAACGCCGTGCGGTCGCACCACCTGAGGCCGTAGGTGCGGCTCCCTGAGGGCCACGAAACGTGTGAGGAGTGTGCGGAGGAGGGGGGGGGAGCGGGAGAAAGCAGACGCGGGGAGCTGCTGATTGAAAACGAGGGCCCGACACCACAGGATGGTTGTGGAAAGCATGGGCCCGCGTTCCCGAGACCTCGACCACTGTTTGACATGTATCCTTATCCCACCAGCCCTTTGGGCGTGAGTGGTCTAGAGAGCCCGCTCTGTTCTCAACCCCCTTCTTCCCCTTCGGGGAGGGGTTTACCCCTCCCCCTACCCCCTCCCCCTGGGCCTGGAGAGGTCCTTCCGCGGGTCGGAGGGGTCTTTTTCGACTCCTGGGAGGGCTAAAATTCGACACCCCTCACGAGGATCGTGGCCCCGACGGGG